CCCCCCCCCCCATAAACATAAGCACTAGGGAAGCCAGTGGCTTATAAAAAGCAAAAGATCACAAATGTTACAGATCACCTCAAATCAACTGAGAGCATCCCTTTTAAAAAACATCTATAAGCTGTGCCTTGTTTTGATAGCATGTACAAGTAGATATAGGGAGACAGATACCAATAGTCCACTGAACACAGAAAACTAGTAACAAGTTTTGTCATTAAGATTAAGTAATTGTTGAAAAATAAGGTTTCCCCCCCCCTTCTTTCTCTGTGTATTCCCTCCACAAGAAACAGAGACACACAGAATACAGGAAACATTTTATAAACTTTAACTAACTTATGGTGATTTTGGTTTTGAGGAAGTAATTCTTCTGTAGCTGTTTGGAGCCTAATAAAGCAAGGCCAGGCCTGGGGACCACAGAGCTGTTGCACGACAGATAACTAATAATTGTTCCTGCAGCCAGCAAAGGAGCAGGACCATCCACTTCCCAGCCTGTCCCTGGCACTCCCCTCAATGCCTAGACACCGAGTTCTCAGTCTCACCATAATTAAATTTGCTTTCAAGAAAGGGGCACATGAGGTGACCCCACACACCTGTCAGCACAAACCAAAGCAGCAGAGCCATAACCCAATAACCAGGCCCACGGGCACTCCCACGACACGTCCCTGCAGCCAGGGCACAGGCTGGGGGAAGCGCCTGCGATGGGCCCTGTCTGCACCCAGGACGCTGCCCTGGGGATTTTTAAGACCTGTCTCTGCCTGTACAAATGTACAAGTGGAATCACTGGACAGTCTGGGTACCACTGTACAAACCCAACACTGTCCCCCACTGCAGGGGCTGCTTTTGAACCCCCAGTCAGGCTCCTTGGCCTGTCAAGAGAGCGGCAGGTCCCTAAGAGCAGCCGAAGATCTGCAAGCTGTTCTGTGTCATCTCCTCTGCCTCCTGTCCTGCTGGGGATACCGGCGAAAGGGCTGCAGAGCCCATCTGCAGAGTGAAAGGGGCTGTATGGTGGAGCATCATGAGAAACAGGCTTTTCTCTTACCTGCTTCCTGCTTGTGGCCAGGAAGGCCAATGGCATCCTG